TTTTGCAAATGTTTTATTATATTTTTATAAATTATTGTGTAAATAATATTTCATAAAACATCACAATATTCAAAACAAAACATTGTCAGTAATTACGTCAACGTGCACTTGTCATCCTAGTTGAAATTTCCTTTTGTATTTCGAGTATGTCCCAATGTTTCACCTAAGGTAGGTGGCGTTAAACATTTTTTTTTTTTTAATAAAGAATATATCTATTATGTCTATACGCAAACAAATACGTATAACATGTCGCTTTATACATCATACGTATAATTTCAAAATCAATGCCGCCTGATAAACTGGAAATATGTAAAACAAACTGTAAAACAGCAAAACCAGTTGTAATTGTAGGAATTAAAATTAAAAATATTTTGAAGCAGATAGTGTAAAATTATTTCAACTATGTCAATTTTTAATATAGAATTTATTGTTATATTGCTACCCGTGGAAATATTTGTTTCACTTTTTGCAAACTATTTAGTTCTTTTTTAATACAAACATATTTAAATTTTAATTCAAGAACGGTTTACTTTCGACAGAAAGACTTCTGTATTAGACGTGGAAATATGTGATTCTTTACATTTGTAATGAACACTATGTACACTTTTATGTATAAAATATAAAGATTAATGTAATAATGAATTTTATGATTTTTTAAATAATTTAAAGATAAATATCCTAACGGGATTAAATGTTTCCTGCACTGCTTTTCATAGAATATTGTACTTCATGGCGAATCACGATTCATAACAATATCGAATTCTTCTCGACAAATTTTTAAGAGTACCTGGAAGGCATTTTGTATTTGTCTGATTAATTAATAAATAAACATGATTGATAATAAATATATTTTGGAAATAAGATTTTATTAATCAGTTATATAGTTGAATAAATCGCACGAGATGAAGTTTTGGAGATGTGCATAGCTTTCAAAGCTGACTTTACATGTAACGATCAATAACACTTGATTAATTTTTTGTTAATAAATGACGGACAGGATGGCTAGTAGAGAAACATCAATTAATTCAAAAAACTCGGATGACCACAGCGTCGAGGTTCGTAAATTTGCAACATAATATTCTACATTTTCATAACTGCATTTAGTAATATGCACTGCAAATACATTGTTTATTATTCCTTTGTCGGTTAATAATATAACTAATGTAGTGTAACAACACTTAATTCATATATTAGAGAATATTATATAAAAATTTCAAATATTCCACTAATTATTAAGTTTATAATGTATACTTATTGTAAATTTTTATTTATATTTTAGACATTAGCAGAAGTCTTCCGATGTTTTATTTGTATGGAAAAACTAAGAGATGCACATCTTTGTCCCCATTGCAGTAAATTATGTTGCTATACATGTATCAGGAGGTGGCTCACAGAACAACGTTCTCAATGTCCTCATTGTAGAGCTTCCTTACATTTACATGAATTAGTAAATTGTAGGTGGGTTGAGGAAGTGACACAACAGCTTGATACCCTTCAAGCTGTTGGTATTTCAAACTCTAGGCATGAAGATTCTAGCAGAGATAGGTACTGTAACTTGAAGTTTGTAATTCTTTTTATTTTAAAAAATATCTAACTCTATATTAATATTGGAATATTTTTTCAAGCAGGTGTACTGTGCACCATGAAAAACTGTCTGTTTATTGCTGGTCTTGTCGCAGATGTATATGCCATCAGTGTGCCCTTTGGGGTGGCACCCATTCAGGGCACACTTTCAAACCATTAGGAGAAGTTTATGAACAGCATGTTACACAGATAAAAGCAGAAGTAGGTCAGTTAAAAAGAAGATTGATGGAATTAATAAGCCTTGTGCAAGAAGTGGTATGTGAAAATTTCATGTAGAAGATTAAATGTACTGAAATAAGAATATTATTTTATACTGAATCTTTCGCCAGGAACGAAATGTTGAATCTGTAAGGGCTGCAAAAGATGAAAGAGTTAGAGAAATTAGAAATGCAGTGGAGCTGATGATAGCACGTTTAGATTCTCAATTGAAAGCTAAATTGTTAACATTAATGGGCCAAAAGAACTCTTTGACATTAGAAACAGAACAATTGGAAGCTTTGCTGCAAGAAGTAGAACATCAATTGCACTCTTGTACACCTTCTGAACTCATAATCAAAAGTGCGGATCTTTCACGGATGATACATCAAGTACGAAAGAAGCCAATGGCCAGTTTTGTTACTGCTCCTGTTCCAGCTGATTTTCACAGGTAAAATATCCATTCCTTGTACTTTCATACATTTAATATTGTGAGAAAAATACTAATTTAATGATTACTCTAGTGAAATTGTTCCTGGATACGATAGCGCTACATTTGCAATGCAAAATTTTACGCAATTGCAACTCAAAGCAGATCCGGTATACTCTGCGCCTTTACACGTTAATGGCTTGTGCTGGAGATTAAAAGTATATCCTGACGGGAATGGTGTAGTACGCGGAAATTATTTGTCTGTTTTTCTAGAATTAAGCGCTGGTTTGCCAGAAACATCGAAGTATGTGCAACGATTTTATATGTGTGATTATTAATTGGTACATCTTAATAAAAAAAACCTTCTTTTAGATACGAGTATCGAGTTGAAATGATTCACCAAGGATCTCGCGATACAAGTAAGAACATTGTTCGTGAATTCGCTTCCGATTTCGAAATCGGTGAATGCTGGGGTTATAACAGATTTTTTAGATTAGATTTACTCGCAACCGAAGGATACTTAAATACTGAATTGGATACCCTTATATTGAGGTATATTAAACGTATAATATTTCATCTTTATTGTATTATTTTTTAATTGTAATATGAAAACCAATAACAGATTTCAAGTGCGACCACCAACATTCTATCAGCGTTGCAGAGACCAACAGTGGTATATCAGTCAATTACTTACAGTTCAAAATCAATATGCCACTCAAATTAATGAATTGAAGGAGGTAGTATCCAGATTTAAAACATTTGGCTATACATTTGTACATAACTCAGGCATATTTATTTTACAGAGATTGGCAATTGAAATATCGCGGAACGCTATGGCAGCAACCAGAGTACCTAGTGGAGCAACGCTATGCGGATCAACATCAAATGTGATGCCTATAGTAATACAGCAACAGTCACAAGCTACTGCAGATCCATTACTTAAATCCAATTCTACTCGTTCAGTTGAAACATATCAAAATGGTACATCTACAAGGTAAATTAACTTCCTTCATAATTCGATGTCTATAAAAGTGTGGAAAACAATATATTTGTAGGGCTTCGATAATCTCATGTTTTTTTTTATAGTAGATCAATGCAGAATGTACTCCCTGGCGGAAGTAACAGTGGTGTTTTATCAGGAGATCAATTAATGCCTATGTGCGAATTAGGAGAACTTGCAAATATGCGTCCTCTTGGTTCCTCCTCGACATTATCCTCTATTTCGTCGAAAACAAGTTTAAAACAGCATAAAGTGAACAATTTGAGTGTCGTTGAGGCTGAATCACCCAATCTACACAATACAAATGATGGTTCTTCGGGAGATTGTCCAGCTCATTCTCCATCTCCTTCTTATTCTTCGCCGACTGTGCTTAATCAGCAATCACTCAATCTCCTGTCTAGTAGCAGCAGTAGTGATAGTGGAGTAAGATGATTTCTTGATGAGAATCTTGATGCTTCTTTTCAGTAATTCAGTTTACTTTGAACTTGTACATAATCGAAATGTGTAACTTCTATTTGTTACAGGAATTAAGTGAACATGATATATATTTAGATGAATGCGAACATAACGCACCGCATTTAACTCTCCTGGATGATAATTCTAATGATGAAAATGACGTAGACGATGAAACTATGTCAGGTACGACAGAAACTTTCGTCATTTCATTGGATATTGTATATTTAAAATTAATAGATAATAGAAGCAATGTAAATGATCCTTTATTTTTTATATTACTTTATTGTAATATAACGTAGTAATATACTGAACTAGGTACAAGTTCAAACAGAGGTTCTGTAGGTGACGCGCAGGGACACAGGCATTGGGAAAGCAAGTTAGATAAAGGTGTTGAAAATGAAAAACCAACGAATGAGAAACCAGACGAAGATTTCGTGAAACAGCATCCTACTTCCCATACTCCCAATCACTTTCAAGCAGTCTCATAAGAAATTCTTTGTTTTTTTCCGAAATAATCTCCGTCCTCTTATGTTTGGTTTTATAACGAGAAATAAATATTTTAGTACATGTACTGTAATAGTCAAAAGCTATAGAAATATCCTGATTTATTGATATTGCTCGTATTATTAAATTTGAAGTGATCGTTTATAAATTTTGTGCACTTTGCGTTAAATATGGTGCCTTTTATTAATTGAAATACACGGTTTTTCCAGTATATTTGTCCATCAATGGGATCATAGTTATAATATGATTACATTTGCAGGAGAAAACGACGTAGAAGTTGCAGAATCATTAACACCCTGGATTCAGAATAAGCAACGGACAAAGCAACAAGGTAATAGAGACAGTGCAGGAGACACTTGCAGGTACGATTTTAATAAGATGCAACTACAATTTTTTTTTGCATATCTACATCAATTTTCAATAATTCAATTTGTTGCTGTAGATTACGAGGCAATGACAGTTTGGAGGATGAAATTATGCTGTTGCATTTATTCGAAATGCAAGATCGAAATTCTGCTTGGACCTCACTATGTTTCAATCAACAAGTGGACGACACCTGTGATTCAAGAACGTCATTAACCAGTTTACAACATCATAATTCCAGTCATTTACATTGTAACACTACACTGCCAAATCACGGTTCATCTGCATTTTCGCACAAACATCATGAGCTTGACTCAACATGCAATGAACAATTTGCTGACAAACGTTCTACCTGCTCCTCACATCTTTGCCAACCTCAGATGATGTGCAGCGGTAGACCAAAACTAAGTCAATTATCCAACATGTGTCAGCAAGAAGTTTCTGGATTAATTGCTTGTGGAAGTCAGACTAGTTCTGAACCCGCGACCCGCTCAAATTCGATAGACTGTGAAAAAGATCTTCCAAAGATATCTGTGGTTAATAAAATTAATCATGAGGTGGAGACATCCAGATCAGATTTGATAGTGCCAAATGGTAAGTGGAGCATTAATAGCTTTTATAGAATTTATTTATATACACATGTGCAATCATATAAAGTATATGCCTTCTCAGTAGTATTGGACAGCAACAAAATTGTGTCGAAGTATTTATTATCGCGACGACAATCTTCACCATCATCATCTACCAACGTTAGCATTATAAATAACGAAAATAATAAAATATTTGACTTCGAACAATTGCTGGAGACCTTTCAATTGTCTCCGATATCTCAAAAAGACACTGCCAGTTGTTTCAATAAATTAAGGTACCAATTTTTCTTAAATTCTTTTTAAAAATTATTTGTATTTCTTATCCAATGTTTGACAATAATATACAGAAAAAATATACCATCGGAGGGAAAATCTAATGGTTGTACCACTGCCAGCCACAAATCTCCTGTACTTTCGTTAGGACACGATGCACCATCATCGTCAACGAGCAGTGCAACGACAGATGCTATACCGAGTTCTAACAATTACAGTTGGGCTCCAGCGTTATACCAACATAAACACGGTAAGTACAAGTAGTTTTGTAAGAACAACTCGAAATTTAAATATAAAATCAGTAATATGACACTTATTTTAGGTCAAAAGAATGTTTTAGAGGCTACAATGCAAGCATCTTCTAACGATAGTTCTAGCAAATGCACCGCGGAAAAGTAAATAGAACTTTTTGTTGTGCTAATGAAATAGTGTTATAAATATAAAATACTTGGAGATATAAAGCTAAATTATTATCATTACAGGTCGTTAGAAGAAACTAATTCTTGAAGTTCGTCCTGAATTACATCTGTCGTATTTATATGTTACAAATGTACTGTGATTCCGTTTATTTATCTAAAAGTTAATTAATATTATTAGAAATGATAGAAAAGTAGTAAGAACATTAAGAATTAAAGACCTGGTATTTGAATGTTTTAACATGGTAAGTGTAATATTCTAATAAAATCGATCTTTTATAGCAGATACTGAATACTATCAAAAATACAAAATGCACAATATTGCATATATAATTTGCAACTATTCGATAGTTATTCAGTACATGCTATGATATAATTGTTTTAAAACCTTAGTAAGACACTAGTAACGCAAAACTAACCTTCTTTCAGCTTAAAAAGCGTATACAAAAAGAATACGACGAACAGCATTCCATATTAAGTAACTTGATTTACATTATTTATCATTATTTATTATATGTACGTGTGTTATATTCTTAGAAAAATTCAAATTTCCTTAGACTCAAATATTAATATATTGTATAGTAACAAAATACTCAATATGTTTATCTTTGCAAATGGTTATGGTGTTACAAGTATTACGAGAACAAATTTTGTATAATTTTTGTGTGTCTGCTTGCATATACACATAAAGCGAGCACAACCCATGACAGTAAAATAAAATAAAGAACATAACTAAATAAATATCTTTCATTAATATTATGTACTTAAATCTTATTTAATTAATTTCGAACCACATTACGTTCGGATATTATTCATTAGGGACTTACATACTTTATTAGCTCTTATTACATTTACATGACACTTATGTACTAAAGTGTCATTGTTAAAATATGAACAACTTGTCACTCTTATTACAGATAACAAATACATTCGTTATTATTCGCCTATATCACATATGAATGGAGTTAAGAGTCAGAAGGTGTTCTATATTTTCTAAACACGACTTACAATACGGCGTCGTTACACCTATAATAAATGTCATCTAAACTGTCCACAATATACGTACAGACTGGCGAATTAGATACATGATAGTTTGTACAAGGTCTACTATTGTACAAATCTTATCTTTTACTAAATAAATTTTCATATATACATACACATTATGTAATACTAGAAAGTAAGTTGTTTCATTCTTTGCTTTTTCTTATTTACAGTATCTAAAAATCTATAAAAATTTCTTTAAAAAACAGAAATTTAATCACGAAATATGAAACAAATGAAAATTCATTGTTTTTAAAATTTTTTTCGTTTCCTTTTTTTATGAAAATATGCATTTCTTAGCATTATGCAGCAGATATAATACGAAAAGAAATAGTTGCTCTATCTTACAATTATCTAATATTCTAAGAAAATAAACTATTGAGTAGTATCGTATGCCATTCCATTTTGCATAAGTAATTCGTTGCGAATTTTTTCATCTTCCGGATATTCTCTGGCTTTCTCTTCGTTTGGTACATAATGAGTACCAGTACTAAATTTTCTAATAATAAATTTGTGTGTTATTTTAAAATTTTTCACTTCTTTCCCGCCATAAGACTTAACAAATTAATGTTATCGGTAAATAATTTGTTACCTTGTGCCGCATAATTACATGATCCATCGTCTACAAATATGGCATAAAATGGTTGATCTGCACCTTCGTCTAATTCATTTACGCTCATTTCACTCAACCATTCTACAGATGGATTGCGATGCGCATCCCACCCTGTGATTAAACACAGGTATTCATGTATTTTATGCCTCATTATTAATCCTATTGCATATTTTACACCAGGAACTCTTCTTTTTGGTTTTACTTCTTCCTGAATAAAAATATATAAAATATAAGTAAAATCATGAATTACCTCAATAAGCCACAGTCAATTAAAAGTTTTAACAAATAATATTAATCTTACTTCTGGGTGTACATTATTTTGGCATTTTTGAAGCACTTGAAATGTTTGTGAAATAATATTTGCTTGTCCTCTTGATGTCAACACCAAATTCTAAAAGTTTTAACAAGATTTTGATGCAAATATATATACAGTCTTATAATAATTTTATAATGTACTGTATTAATTTCATAAAATACCTTTTGCATATTTTTTACTATTTCCACTAGTTCAGTTAAATCCATAAACTGCAAAATGTATATTCGACCTAGCTGTAAGATCGCATTCGCATCGTTTGGTTGAATCATGCATCGGAGTTCAACAGCAGAACGCAATCTTGCAGTTCTGCCATTCATATGAGTATGCTGTCGAGCAGCTATTTCCAAATTATTTACCATTCTTGTTACTACCTATTAGAAGATGTTACTGTATTATAACTTCAAAGACCAGTATACAATAATGATTCTAAGTTTAAAGAATTTACAAACCTCTACTGTTGTTGCTGCTTCATGAGTATTAAACCTTTCTATTGGACATCTTGAAATACCATTTATTCCAGGACAATTTTTCTTGGTCAGAAATTGACCACCATTGAAGACATCAATATAAAAATGCTCTATATCCTTAGATTCTGGACCACTAAAACAAAACATACAGCAATGTATAAAAAAAACATAGCATAAGTGAAATTAGAAATTAAATTCCTATTACATTAAAATTATTAAAACCTTTTTCATAACACAAAATTATGAAATATATAGAGCTACTAACTATAAGTCATACCTATACTAACTGGAAACTTACTATGTTTCCTTCCATCGTAACAGGAAATGAGATGGAAAACTAACAGGTTCACAACGTATACCAAGTCTTCTAGCTACACTTTCAAATACTATTGATAAAGTTATAGGAATTCCACGCCTATGTTCCAAAACCTGGTGGAGAAATTACATATATTTAAAATTTAATTTATAACATAAAATAATATATCATTTACTACATTTTTAATTTCATAACTTACGCGATCTATGAACGAATTTTCGTAATTATAATACATTTCAGCCTTTCCATAAAATCCTAACTTTTTAAATAATACTTCGCATAATGCATCTGTTACTTGGTTTGATTCCAAAACATTCCACTGATTGTCATCAATAATATTATTTTTCCAGAAGATAAATGTTTCTGCTGGGACTGAGAATATAGGATGAGCTGGATACTTTTCTTTGAGTAATTTTTTAGTTTGTTCTGCAATATTATCTAATGTTGATGATATTGCCAAATAAGATACATCTCTTTCTGGTTGACTCCATTGTGCTAGAATAGTTGCACCACGTTCTAAAGTTTGTTGCTTTGGTGGTAAAGATATAAATTTTTGCCATTCATCCTTCAAATGATTCTGTTTCATATATCGAACAACTTTGAGAGCATAATATCTATGTGTTAAATTGCTAGCTCTGGAAGAATGTATAACAGCATTATTACCTAATGATCTAGAAAAAATATATTTATTATGGTCATACTTACATAGTAGGGTATTTAATCAAACTCATAAGTTCATCCACCAGAAAATTATAAGCTGATGGATGAGCACCATCTTCTGGACGAAACAAAGGATCATATTCTTTAAAATCAGAATTAGATAATTCCTGCTTTCTGTAATGTTTACTGGACATCAAAGATAAATGATAAAGCAATTTCATTCTACTACTTAAGCTAGCTTTTATTTCTTCCTTCCAGTTTATCATCTGATCATTCAATTCTTTGTTCATTTGGTACATTTCCTTCAAAAGTGGCCATCTGACATTTTAAAAAATAAAATATTTATACCATTAAAAAAACACTGATGAAAATTATGTAAACTAAATCTCAAATGTTTTTCACATTGATACAATTAAGGAGAATATCTTCCACAGAGACAATCTGTATCTATAGTGTTTACAAATAAAACTTATAAATAGTACATAAAGAGAAATTTATATCACAAGCTAAAACAGTAATTTGCGTTTCGCGCAATTAACTATATAACACAGAAAAATCTCATCTAGCAGAAAATCTTTTACAAATTTCATAAAACTCCAAGTAAATAAAAAATCATAATTATTTCAAGACAACAGACAGTAATTCGTTTAATCCGTTATTTTAACAGTAACATCCAAACGTATAGACTAACGAAGTGTGTACCTTTGAAAAAATTTAGTCTTCCAGAGTTTATTATTGTTGTTGACAAGTTTGTACAAATTTTTGCACGACAAGCTGAAATTAACAACGTCCAAGAAGCCAAGTCGTTTAACTTCTAAAATACACACGATTATTTCTTCGGGTAATAAAATTATTGCGTCACTTGCCATTTTTTGTAATTTACTCTGGATCGTGTTCGTGTTCAAAATATCAAGTATAAAAACGATTTTCTTACATATAAAGTGCAATCATGAAATCGAACGAAACACGTCTACAACGTGCTTCATTTAGCATCACACTGCCTCAATGTCAGAAGCTTCTGTCGCGAACTCAGAAGTTGACACATTCAAGAAATGACGCCGGTTGGGGGAAAACCGCACTTAACCGTCTGCTTTTAGATAACACCACCGTTTTGTAATGGCAATGATCAATAATGGCAGGCAGTGTGCACCAGTGTTAAGTGTCAACCAATGAGAATAATATTCTTTTCTAGGCCAACTCATGAACTTCCAATGGCAGCTTGTCATTAAATACTCAAATGCACAACTAAACATTTTAAAGATACATACAACATTGTATAGATACTGATGTAACTTGCTGGCAATCTACCTGAAATCTATTGCACTACATATTTCTAGGAATAATATCTTCACAATGAAATGTAAAAAATGTTTAATCTTTTCCTTTTTATGTGAGTTGAAAACATTGGCAACAATTTCAATTTTTTTCTAGGGAATTATGTTGGTGTACTAAATAATAAATTAGTGTTTTAAGAACATAATAAATATTTCTAATGTTTTCTGTATTTTATTGCGGATTATTTATTACACCAAAATTTTAATGACATTCAACTATTGAATTAATTTAATACGCATGGTAATCCATGCTTTGACGAAGGGTCATACAGTCGACCTCGTCAATTTTTAAAGTGTTCGTCTTGACGTTGATATCCTCTTCAATCTGAATTTGCGTTTTCAACAAATAACGCAACGATGCTTGCGCCTAAAGAAACATATGTTAGTCAAGCAGTCGTTTTACCGTAATCAGTTGAAATTAAAGAATAACATAGATTGTATCAGTAATAATATAAAACCTCGAACATAGTGGCTTGCAATTTTGACACAACTTCGCGTAAATCATGTACTTCCTTCACGAGATTAGTTTCAACCAGATCTCGTGTAAGTTCCAAACCCGGTCTTTGACAACGGTTACCTAGTCTTGTATGCGCTAAAGCCAAGTAACATTCCTTATCAGCAATTGATTGCTCTATGCGTGTAATATTCTGTTTCATATCCGCTGCTTGCCGCATTATCTATACATGCACATATATTTTATACTTTTTTATTCCGCTATAATTATACTAATTAATCAATCTTCAGTTGAACTATGAAATTTATTATGTTAATTAAGTCTCTGATGTTTATGTTCTTATATAATTTCAATGGTTTTTATCATTTTAATAATTTTTAATTAAATTTCAATGCTCATCCTAGAAACACACACCTCGGAGTGTTGCAATTCTAGTTTCATTTTTGTTTCTTTCGTTTCTTCGATGCGGCGTCTGAAAGCTCCATCAGTGGCACTTTTCTGACCGATTAGATCATCGACCGCTTGTTTTATAATCGTATCGATATAACAGCGTAATGGCCTGGCGCCATTTACCTCTTTTGAAGCAGCAATAATATTGTTATTCGTTTGCATTTCCCATTCATTTAATTCTATGGTTCTTATTGCATGAAAGTGAATGTTAAAAATGTATCAGATTTAATAATCATAAAAGATATTGAAATTAAAGAAAAGGAAAGGATAACAAAAATGGTACTCACGATGGATCAAGTCGTGAGATACCATGATAAATGCTTAAATTTAAGCTGGTTTCTTTCAGAGTTAAATTATGCTTATCAATACGTAAATTATTCTCCTTATCTTCGAGCTCGTGATCCATGTAATATAGTGTCGCCTTTAATCGGCGTATTTGTTCCTGAGTTTGCTCCAGGATTCGAACTAGTAAATTTTCAGCGCCCTTGACCACATCGCATTCTTTTAACAATTCTGTGTCAACCTCATCGCAAACTAAATCGATTCCTAATCTGTGCTCTCTACAATTAAAATGTCATTGAAAATATTGCTTACTAATTTATTAAAAACTAAAATAATTATTAATTGTGATCTTTTGCTTTCGTAAATCTGACCTGAAAATGAGGCATTTTTCACAAATAACAAGAGCGTTTTTTTTTACGGATGATAGAGCATCCATAATGCGTTCCTTGTATATCAGTAGAGCATCAATTTCAAAGAGAACTTCCTTTCTTATGCGCAGTAATTCCTTTTTACGAAATTCAATATCTTCTATTTTTTCTTTGAGTCTATGGTCTGTTTCCAACTTATTGTCTCGTACCGTTTCAGTACTCAGTTCACAAACACGTTTAGATTCATTAAGTAGCCGATCTGCTAATTCTTGCTGTGCTTCAGAACATCGGAACCTGATTCGGTAGATAATTTTTAAATATCGTTGTCTTTTATTTTTTTACTAATAAGCTTAATTAAATAATAAATGCCTTTACTATTACTTCAACACAGTACGTAAAATATTACTTCCTACTGAGTCTTTCAATTTTTCTTTATTTTAGTTAAGTATCCATACCTGTGGCGATTATTCAGATGCCATTGATGTAAAGTAAATTTCAAAGGAGGCGGAGGAACTAACGCGGGTTCGTAATTGTTTTGCATTTTATTTTTTAAGTACAAAAATGATCTTATCGGTCTAAAGGAACACTGTTCTTTTAAAGAGGCGGGTTCACAGGTTTGATCTATATATGGATGTAAGGATTGTTTCTATGGAAACGCTGCCTGCAATTTCGAATTTAACCTATTATGAAATAGTTTCTTCTAATACGTACGCAATAAAGAAAGAACGTATTAAATACTGTAACAAATACATCAAATATATACAAAAGAATGTATCGTATACTTTATATTTGTGAGTTTCGTTCTAAATAAATTATTTCTAAAGAAGTTAAAAAAATGGTTAAAATAAAAATTTGACACCCATACATGTTACACGCAAAATATAAAATGAATTTACATTGTCCAATCGGCATGACAACAAGTGACATTATCTACCTTCTTGTTTTACGTAGCTTACATCAGATGGACTCGTGATGCAATTAGAGGTTCAAGAGGAAATGCAAGTGGTAACCATGTTTCGCGTCTACGTCCACTGTATAATCACGGTGAATGTCGATGTTTTCGCCTTATTTTTTGATTTGCCGCGTATGCAACGCCGTGATACAATGGCGGCTTCCGTTACAAGCACGTACTTTTTGTCGACCGTATTCGATAAAATGTAAAGATCTGTCGAAAGTGCGCTCTTTTCGACAGGTTTTAGCCGTCTAAAAATGACATAGCGATATCGAAACTGTAAGGTATTTGTGGAGAGGATCGCTGGAGGTACTAATACACGTTACGAGGTACAGATTCTTTTGATCAATAACAAATTTCATAGACTCTGGACAATAAATCACTTACAAAGTGTTCGTCACTTTAAAAGTTTTTCTCGTTTGGTTTTTCAGGAAGGGAAGAACGTTCGCGGCAAAATGTCAAAGCGACCTGCAGATAGCGGGGATTCGGGTTCCCAGCCACCTATCAAAAAAGTTCAATTTGAGCCGATTTTAATCGGACCTATTTCAACACTCGAAGAAATGGACATGAAAGTTTTACAATTTCAAAATAAAAAATTAGCCCAGGTAAGGTCTTGAATATTTTAATAACCACAACCACTGTACGACCACTTACGTAGTTCGA